CCTCCAGGGACGGAGAATCCCCCACTTCCCTGGGCAGCCCATTCCAATGGCTGAGCACCCTCTCTGGAAAGAATTCCTTCCTTTCCAACCCAACCGATTCTGGGATTCTGTGATTCCATGACTTGGAAAGCAAAGTCCTCCTATTTTGTTTTCCTTGTCCTCCAGGGGATTCCCGGGACACCTGGACCCAAAGGCAACAAGGTCAGTGCCAACCTCCTGGGGTGGGAATGGGACATCCCGCTGCCCTTCCTGGCTCCTTATCCCAGTCCCCATCCAGCCATTCCATCCCCAGTTCACCTTCATTCCCTCCTTCCCTGTGGTTGCCGGAGGATCCTCTGGAGCGAGCAGGAATCCCATGGAATTGAGTTTCCAGACTCTTCCTGTGACCAAACTCGGGAATTCTGGGATGGGGTGTCTTTGCTCCCGGTGTGACCTGGGGGGGTTCTCTGCTCCACAGGGAGAATCCGGCGTCGGAGCCTCCGGCCCCAGAGGTCCCCGTGGAATTCCTGGCCCTCGGGTAGGTCCCTCCGGAAAAATTCCTGGCTTGGCTTCCTGAATCCAAGCCCTTCCTTGGTCCATCACCTCCCGGTCCCACATCCAGGGCTGATCCCAGAACCTCTTTGGCCTGGGAATGTTCATTTTCCTCCTGCCCCTGGAGAAGTTCTGGTCTCCTTCTGGCCAAGACCCTCTGGAGTCACATTCTCTGGAATTCCTGGAGTTCCCGGCGGGATGGTTTGAGGAGCTGGGATCTGAGGGTGTGTGGTGGCCATCAGTTGGCCTCTCCATCCTTGGAATTCTGGATCTTTGAGGCTCTGGGATTCAGATCCATGGAGAATTCTGGATCTTTGAGGCTCTTGGATCCAGATCCGTTGAGAATTCTGGATCTTTGAGGCTCTTGGATCCAGATCCATGGACAATTGAGGATCCATGGAGAATTGAGGATCTTTGAGATTCTTGGATCCAGATCCATGGAGACTTCTGGATCTTTGGATCTCCTGGATCCAGATCCATGGAGAATTGAGGATCTTTGGGGCTCCTGGATCCAGATCCATGGAGAATTATGGAACTTTGGGACTCTTGGATCCAGATCCATAAAGAATTGAGGATCTATGAGACTCCTGGATCCAGATTCATAGAGATTTCTGGATCTTTGGGACTCCTGAATCCAGGTACATGGAGAATTGTGGATCTTTGAGGCTCTTGGATCCAGATCCATGGAGAATTCTGGATCGTTGCGGCTCTTGGATCCAGGTCCATGGAGAATTGAGGATCCATGGAGAATTCCTCAATTCTCTTTGAGATTCTTGGATCCAGATCCATGGAGAATTCCTCAATTCTCTTTGAGGCTCTTGGATCCAGATCCATGGAGAACTGAGGATCTTTGGGGCTCCTGGATCCAGATCCACAGAGAATTCTGGATCTTTGAGACTCTGGGATCCAGATCCATGGAGAATTCTGGATGTGTGAGGCTCTTGGATCCAGATCCATGGAGAATCCTGGGTCTTTGAGACTCCTGGATCCAGATCCATGGAGAATTCTGGATCTTTGAATCTACTGGATCCAGATCAATGGAGAATTCTGGATCTTTGAGGATCCAGATCCATGGGGATTTCAGGATCTTTGAGATTCTTGGATTCAGATCCATGGAGAATTCTTCAGTTCTCAGTGAGACTCCTGGATCCAGATCCATGGAGAATTGAGGATCTTTGAGATTCTTGGATCCAGATCCATGAAGAATTCTGGATCTTTGGGATTCTTGGATCCAGATCCATGGAGAATTCTGGATCTTTGGGATTCTTGGATCCAGATCCATGGAGAATTGTGGATCTTTGAGGCTCTTGGATCCAGATCCATGGAAATTTCTGGATCTTTGAGGCTCTGGGATCCAGATCCATGGAAATTTCTGGATCTTTGGGACTCTTGGATCCAGATCCATGCAGAATTGTGTATGGAATTCCGTTCCATCCCTCCAGGGTGACGAGGGCATCGTGGGACTCCGGGGTCCCGTGGGAATGATGGTGAGTGTTAATTATATGTATATATATATAAAATATAAATAAATAATATTTATTTTATGTTTAGATTAACTGTATCTAATATAAATAAATAATATTTTAATTATATTTATATTAATTACAATCTAAATGAATAATATTTATAATGTATTTATATTAATTATATCATCTAAATAAATAATATTTAGATTATGTTTATATTAATTATATGTAATCTAAATAAATAATATTTAG